ATTTCATTAACTCTCAACTAACATAAGAAAAAGAGGATCATGGGGGACCAACAGGCACCGATTGGGGAAGTTTTCTATAAAGAGGGAGCAAGTAGCTACAGGTAGGACAGTGGGGCTTTACATTATTAGATAAAGCAGACAATTTGTTGTACCGTTCACGACTCTTAACCCTAATTTGTCTGAAATCAGTTTCCCTCCTCCTGTGCTTTCGCGCGGAAGTTTTGACGTTTCCTTAAATTATGAGAAAAGCAGACGATTCGTTGTACTATTCTCGACTCTTAATCCTTTTCTAAATTCGGTTGTCCCCCCTCCCGCGCAAATCGCGGAAGCTTAGACGTTTCCTTAAATTATTAGATAAAGAGGACGATTCGTTCTACCGTTCTCGACTCGTCTAAATTAAGTTTTCCCTCTCGCGCAAAGCGCAGAATTTTTGGCGTTTCATCAAAATATAGAGAAAGGAAGACAATTCGTTGTACTATAGCTGACTCTTTATCCTTGTTTGAATTTAGTTTCCCCGAAAATTTTAAACCTCTTATTTCTTTAGCTGATATTATAGGAAAGTGAAACTTCTAGAAAATACAAGTTTTGTAGTCGTAGTCACTCTCGAAGTCATCGCAGCGGATAAAAAGTCACATTTCGTAGGGAAAAAAACTTGTAGCCGACCGACAATATAAACCTCACCGACTTCAAACTTCTGCATTGATATAGTACACGAGGATCGAGCAAGAATACCGACACATCTGACCCGACACAGTAACATATTTACTCATGTCTTTCTTGCTCCCTCGACGAGACGACTCCACCCAACAACCCCCTCTTTCTTTTACTCCCACTCCTCCTCTCTCAGGCTCTTACCTCCCCTCTCTCTCCTCTCTTTCACCCGCGTTTCTTTTGTTTCCCCCTTTTTGTTTGTTTCTGTCTTCTTTTCTCTTTTTTCCTCTCCTCCCTCTTTTTCTTTTTTCTCTTTTTTTCTTCTCTTTTTTTCCCTTTCTTTCCTCTCTTTTCCTTTTCTTGTTTTTCTTTTCTTTCCCTCACTTTTTTCCCCTCCCACTTTTCTCTTTTTTCACGAGGGCAGCGCAATTTTACCGACAATATCCTGACAGGTGGGGGGGGGGGGGGGTGTCGCGTCCCCCCCCCCCCTTTGGAGACGCCCCTGGATACTGAATAGCATTTCAGTTCAATGATTGCTGTCATATTGTTATCAAACCAAACAGAATAGTATGTAGGCCAACACTGTTTCATCAATAGTATTATACATTACCTGTCATTCTGACACCGACACCGACATCTCCAACGTCAAGCCTTGGTTGATCTGGTATGCTGTCATCATCACTTTCCTCAGACTCATCATCCACTGACAGGACAACTCCCTCCCATCTCCTGCCTTTCCAAGGCATGAAGACTTTTGTCCCTTTTATTGGATTACAGGGACATTGAATATATCTCCATACACTACCACGGTTTTTGGAGCCATCTTTTTTCCACTGAACAAGCAATTCTGTTGTTGGCTCCATGCTGTAGCCTACCTGTGCAAATCCTGACAAAGTGAGGGAAACAAAAGGGTTACATTAATTTTGACTGAAAGTAGATCTAATCCAACTTACAAGCTACTTTACAATTGACCGTCCCCAATACTTGTAGCGGAAAGTAGAAACTTGAGTTCTAGACATGCAACTATCATTTGAGATTGCCCTTGATTAAATTTGAACAAAGCCACTAAAAGACAAAGGTATCAAAATTCAAACCATTCTCCTTTCATATCTGTAGACTACTATCATTTTTGCAAATTTGATTTGAACAATAAAAAGTATTAGACCTCTAGAGTCTAGAATCTGCTTGCACTGTTGCAATTGGTATAATAATACCTGAATACGGTATACTACTAACAATCTGGCATTTATTTAACTAATTTTGTAGATCTACGCTAAGCATGCTTTCAAATTTCAATCCGTACCACTGTCTTTACAAATTGTTGTCTTGTCTCGTCTTTCCATGAGCGAAAAAACAGTGAAATGATTATCATGGCACATAGATCTATAGATTGACGACTACTCCTACATACTGTACATGTATCTTGATCTAACTGAACAACCTCACACAAACAACATTACATCCCGCACCCAACTCTACCGGAACTGACGTTTTCCCTCGGGACAGCTAGTAACTGCGTGGAACGCACTTTCGAAAATCACCCTTGACTTGGGGCTTCATGCTAGTTGCTAGACCTAGATCTACTTCATATTTGGAGGCCTTCAACTTCAAGGGAGCGCTTACATTGCAACCCACTCCAGCAAAGCATAGAGTCAATGCCACTCAACATCCACCCCAGCACAGAGAGTCAATGATAATGCGTAATGACTCTACTTGCCCGTGATACCATATAAATCAATACATGGGGCAACGTATTAATTATCATCATTATACATCGCATTTTTACCCGATAAAATCAAAATATTCTAACGATCCTAATCATAATGTAATCAGTATGACCAAATATATCAAATCTTCCAGATAATTTGACATTTACAACACGTTATTTAAAAGAAGAAGCAGTTATTTTGCTTACCACAGGCCTAGCAGACGTCAGCTTCGCGATAACGCCCTTCTGCTTTGATCAAAATTTACGCTCGCGCCTAATATGCAAAGGGCGTAGAGGGCTTACGCCCTTCTGCTTAGCGCGATATCTGACAGTTTGTGCTAACGCCCTTTTACTATTGTCGATTACGTAATCATTTACTTCGTTTTATGCCATCTCGATCACATCATTTGAAAGAGCTTTGAAAACTCTATTATATGACATGAAATATCAAAAATCGATTTTTGACCTGAAATTCGAGCTAACGCCCTTCTGCCAGCCGTGCGACGATATACGCTCACCAGCCCAGCAAAAACCTGGTCGGTCGGTCGGTTCTTCATTTTATATTCTAGGAAGAAGACAACTTTAGACTGATTTGCAGTTTGCTCGACATTTATTCCGCTCCGAAACTAGGAGTCCTTTTCCTCAAAACATGTAAAGTAGGAAAGTCAAAGTAAAACAAGTAACATGCATAAAAGCAATAACAAAATCTTATAACCACAATAAAGAGGGTCCACCATAAACAATTCGACAATAATGTATAAACGTGATATGATTCAACAATCTTAAGGGTACATGTACCATGAGTGAAACTCAAAATTGTAGGGATCTCCGGTCACGTGATCAGCGGAGGGATAGTAACTCCTTCCGATCACCCCAGGTCCCTGGGGTTTACGTGACCTGCCGGTAGGATAGTATCTCCTACGGATGATCCCCACAACTTTTCAATACTCACAAAATCATCAATGCATAAATAACATAGTTATGGAAACACTATATTTGTGGGATCTCGAGTCACGCGATCAGCGGAAGGATAGTAATTCCCTCCGATCACCCCAGGTCCCTGGGGTTTACGTGACCTGCCGGTAGGATAGTATCTCCTACGGATGATCCCCACAACTTTTCAATACTCACAAAATCATCAATGCATAAATAACATAGTTATGGAAACACTATATTTGTGGGGTCTCGAGTCACGCGATCAGCGGAAGGGTAGTAACTCCCTCCGATCACCCCAGATACCTGGGGTTTACGTGACCCACCGACAGGATAGTATCTCCTGCAGTATCCCCAATGTTATCCCGGTGCTACTATACCAGCGCATATATAAGAAGTGGTGATAATCGGAACCAACCATGGAATAATCACGAGTAAAGAAATCCTCCCCCAGTCAACCCCCGTGTTACCATGATATTAAATACATACAATTCGTTATATCACTCAAAACAACATTGTACTTCCAATTTGTCAATCCTCAATCAACTTTAAGTAGTTTACTTCTTCAACTCTACTTAAACTAAAGAGGGGTGGGTGGGCCGGGGAAAAAGGACTTCTCCGAGCGGAGATAAAGTCGAAAGTGAGAAAATCTTGCACACGGCGTTCCCACGCTTACTGCGCGCATAACTCCACCGTTGTAGATTCACTGGCTGTGCGCATTTTCGGTTTCTTTACAGAGGTAAATTTCACATGTCGCTGTCTCACAAAGGCACCGCTTAAACAGCTGTAAAAGGCGCGCGCTATTTCTGGCCTATGCCAGCAATTGTTTTGTCTATCCTTGACTCTCCCAGAATGACTCTGATCATTTATTATGATCACGTTATTCTAGGAAGAAGACAACTTTAGACTGATTTGCAGTTTGCTCGACATTTATTCCGCTCCGAAACTAGGAGTCCTTTTCCTCAAAACATGTAAAGTAGGAAAGTCAAAGTAAAACAAGTAACATGCATAAAAGCAATAACAAAATCTTATAACCACAATAAAGAGGGTCCACCATAAACAATTCGACAATAATGTATAAACGTGATATGATTCAACAATCTTAAGGGTACATGTACCATGAGTGAAACTCAAAATTGTAGGGATCTCCGGTCACGTGATCAGCGGAGGGATAGTAACTCCTTCCGATCACCCCAGGTCCCTGGGGTTTACGTGACCTGCCGGTAGGATAGTATCTCCTACGGATGATCCCCACAACTTTTCAATACTCACAAAATCATCAATGCATAAATAACATAGTTATGGAAACACTATATTTGTGGGATCTCGAGTCACGCGATCAGCGGAAGGATAGTAATTCCCTCCGATCACCCCAGGTCCCTGGGGTTTACGTGACCTGCCGGTAGGATAGTATCTCCTACGGATGATCCCCACAACTTTTCAATACTCACAAAATCATCAATGCATAAATAACATAGTTATGGAAACACTATATTTGTGGGGTCTCGAGTCACGCGATCAGCGGAAGGGTAGTAACTCCCTCCGATCACCCCAGATACCTGGGGTTTACGTGACCCACCGACAGGATAGTATCTCCTGCAGTATCCCCAATGTTATCCCGGTGCTACTATACCAGCGCATATATAAGAAGTGGTGATAATCGGAACCAACCATGGAATAATCACGAGTAAAGAAATCCTCCCATGACTAAAATGAAAGGCAAGTTAAAATATATATAAACATGTACAATAAAAACTAAGGCACTGAGTTGCAATGTTCTAAAACATTGTATAAACATGTACAATGAAGTTCAAGTCAAAGAGGTTGTATGTGAGTTCGAAGAGGAGCAGAAAATACAAGCCTTGCTGCTCATTTTTGGGGTCTCTGAAGGCGATTAAGGTCCCTCTGGCTGAGAACACTGAAGACCCAACCCTTTCTATACTCAAACTGTTTACATGATCTTGATAGGCCCTCTGTCAAACAATCTCCCCTGTATCGATCGGTATCACTACCCCCACCCCATGATTCGATGTGTAACCTCGTCTATGCCATGTTCCATCGTAGGGCACTGCCACGTCCACATGATCATTTTCCCTGATGGTCAGATCCTTGTCCATGGCCCTTTGACGTAGGCATGCTGCCACCTTCTTCTTCTGATCCTTACTGGTCTGCAGAAAATAAAAAGAGTTTGTAATAAATAACAAGTAAATTTCAAGTTCCCTCAGGCCCCTTACTTATTAGACCCTATTACAAATATTTAGATTTGATTAATTTTCATCCCTTGATTTGACAAGAAGGGATCTTGATGTACATGTATTATACTGTCTATCGACCATAACTAAGAAATAAAAATATGTTTGCATTAAATGTACGTACAGCTAAGATAATGTAATGAAGAAAACACAAGGCTGGTGACTAACCTCTTGGGATAAGGAAGATAAAGTGGCTATGTGCCTGTTGTAGCTAGGGGCTTCGACTAGTGGGGCTGTTCCGAGGATGGTCAGCAAGTCGCACAAGCTATCCCGTGCCAAACCAACCTCCGTTGCTGTCAGAGTAGCTCTGCGGTTTATTTCTGCAGACTTCCCACGTCCTTCGCATTCATTTTCTGATGAAGAGAATGTCCTCTCCTTCTTGCAAATGAAGCAACCAAGGACCATGGCGCAGTTCAACCCATTCCTCTTTGACAAATTCTCCAGAGGAATGAGATGCCCTGTAAAAGATATCCAAAACACTTTATGGAACAGGGAAAATATTTTGAAAAGCACAATCCCCAAATAATAACAAAGTGCTAGTTATGACATACATGTAGTATATTACACAAATACACATTTTCACAGATTTCACGACAATTCCGATGCCCCCACTTCGATTCACCATAGAGTAAAGGAGGGGTTTTTCGGCCACTTAAGACAAAATCCTATTTTTGGGACTCTTTACTTCCTATTTATTATCATTTCTTGTTCAAATCATGAAGCAAATACTATTATTATTTAAACAAAGAAAGAATCCCAGAAAAAAAATCATGAATTGCCATGACAACATTCATTTCAATTTTCACTGTTTCGGAGGTAGTTTTCGGCCGCATGTACAAAGTCAATAGGAAGCAAGCAAGCGCGCCATGCGTTTCCCCACTGATCTATAGCACTAGCGGCCGGAGCAGGTATCCCAAGCCGGAGCTTCCCGTGCCGAAAACTACCTCTGTGGTGATCAGAAATTGGAATCTGAATTAGACAGAGATATCGTGTGTGCGCTGCGGTATCCGGCTGCATTGATTAAATACATGCGATGAGATACTTTTGAGCTTGCGACTCACACAAAATCGGACTCTAAATCTGAAAAATACTTGAAATAAAGCTCATTTTATGGTACCCATATTCCTTACACGGGTAAGATACTTAATTTTTAAGATTCGGGGAGCGGGACCGCCGATTACATCGTTAAAATGTGATATTTTAGGATATATTTTCCATTGCAAATGTGGTTCTTCAGTGACTCTGGCATGGTATGGTATGTGTGGGATATATGATATGCTGTTATGCGATGGATTTTAAAGGGATTTTACCATGCATCCAACGGATCGGCCGAAAACTGGTGATGGTCGATTACCCCCTCCTTTACTCTATTCTTAATCATTTGATTTGGCTTTTTGAGCCATTCACCCCTTGAGCATGCAATACAATCTCAAAGTAACAGTTTGCAAACTAAAAATATTGTTTGATAGTAAGTACATACCTCCCAGACACACGTGAGCCTTTTGCAAAGCAGCTGCAAGTTGTGGGCCACTAATGACGCGGATTTTCACATGTGGGACCAGCTAGGGCCAGAAATAGGTCTGTCCAAACACTTATTCAGGGAAAGCTTCCTCGATCTCTGAATTAGCTGTTAGTTCTTCCGGCACCTCTCCAGCATTCATGTTACTCTTCTGTAATATCTGGTATTGATCTCCTTTGAACACCTTCCTCTTCCTCACATATTTTGGAGTTTTGCGAAGCATTTTCAGTGAGTAGAAATTGGAGACCAACGGCTAGAAGAGTTATTCAAATCTTGGGCACAAGGTGGCAGCAAACAGCCCTTGTTATCTACTTTCTGCTGATATACATTACTTGTTACAATTTGGTTTAGAATTTTTTATTTAATGATTTCTTTAATTGATTGAGACTAATTGAGTGCAAACAGAGGCAGTGGAGCGACTTCCAAAGTGGGGGGGGGGGGGGGGGGGGGGGGGGGGGGGGGGGCACCAACAAAAAAGGCACTTTCTGGAGAAAATAAATAGGGCACCTACAAAGGGAAATCTCAAAGCGAAAATATATATTTAAAAAAAAAACATTTGTATATACCCCCTATATTGTGATTAGATTATCAGGGATGATTTTAATATTTTGTTTATCTTTATAAATAAGATTTGTGAGGTCGCAGTGCGAAAAATTACATCAATTATAAAGAAGAAAAACCCAATCCTGATGGGTTTATTACATTATCATAACAGAAGACTGAAAAGACCTTTGATAAGTACCATAATTATAACATCTAGAAATGCGGGTGTGCTTTGGGTGATATTCCACTTAGTAGCTGGAAATTAGGGGCACGTGATGAGAGGAAAAAGGGACACTTATCGAAAAGGGTGACACTTATTAGAAAAAAAAAGGAGCACATGTCAAATTACAACGGGTAATTTTCAGAAGGTGAAAATGGGGCACGTACGTATTATTGTTAAAGGGTAATTATCTGAGGTGAAAAGAAAAGGGGCACTTATGAGAATGAAAAAGGGGCACTAATAATAAGGGGAAATGTTCATTTGTTGTACGAAAAGGGGCACCGATCAGTTTTTAATAGGGGCATTTAATACGAGGGGAAGGGGGGGATTTATGAGAAGGGGAAAGTGCAGGCTATTATTAAAAAGAAAAGAGGCACATGTCAAGATAAACGGGGCACTTATGAGAGATGAAAAGGGGGTAATTATGGGAAGGGGATGGGGCACTTAAAAGAAGGAAAAAGAGCATTTATTAGGAAGGGAAGGGGGCATTTATGATAAAGGGAAGGGGCTCTCTTTTAAATGGGGCAAAATAAAAGGGGCAGTCATTGAAGATGAAAAGAGCACTTATCATGAGGAAAAGGGACACTTGTCAAAATAAAACGAGTACCTCTCAGAATTTAATAGGGTCATTTACTAGAGATGGAACGGGACTATGAGAATGAAGAGGGACTTAAGAATGAAAAGTAACTGTTTTCATAGATGAAAAGGGGGCATTTATGATAAAGGGAAGGGGCTCTCTTTTAAATGGGGGCACTTGTTAGAAAGTAAAGGGGGCACATGTGAAAATATAAGGTGCGCTTATCCGAGTTAAACAAGGGGTAGTTATTAAAAGGGGAAAGGCCCCTCTCAGATTTGAATAGGGAAATTATCAGAGGTGAATGGGGCACTTATCAAAAGTGAAAAGGGGCACTTATTAGAGATGGAAAAAGGGCACTTATGAGAATGGAAAATGGACACTTATTGCAAAGGAAAACCGGAACTTATCGAAGGAAAAGGGGCACTTTAAAAAAAATAATAGGGGCACTTTTTAAAGTAAAGGGGCCCTTTTTATGTAAAAAGTGCCACGTTAGAGCCACCATGGAGTCACTAACCACTAGAAATATATCATAAAGTCATCATCCACCATAGAGCTACTGCTAAAATATCTTACACCACAGGGATATACCATTCAACGGAAATACCATATAATATACTCTACCATATATCATACCATAGAAATACCATACACCATACCCCGGCCCCCCCCCCCCCACTCAGTGTTATTTAGGGTACGCATATGCTCGTTCCCTCTTTTTGAAAGCACCCCCTATCTGAGGACTGCCAACATTTTCGAACCCCCCTTTCGCGGGCTTTTCGCGGGCTTTTCCTGCCTTGGAGACCCCCCCTAAATCAGGAAAAATGCTCAATGTACCCCCCTAAATTCGGAATAATTTCTCAGGAGTCCAAAGAGATGAGAGAAAAAAAGAAAAAACACCCCCTTTTTAAAGAGATCTCCGGGTGAAAAGTCAAATACACCCCTTTTTTTTACAATTCTCGGGCTGGACTTTGTCGCACGAAAAGTACCCCTTTACCGGACATTTTGGCAACACGCATGCGGTCATTCCGACCCCTGAGTTGGGGGGCCGGGCACCATACAGCCACCATAGAGCTACCATAGATCTACCATTCACTTTAGAGCCACCATAGAGTCACTAACCACCATTAATATACCATAAAGTCATCATCCACCATAGAGCTACCACTGAAATATCCTCCACCATAGGGATACCATTCAACAGAAATACCATAGAAATATATTCTACCATATAACATACCGTAGAAATACCATACACCATACAGCCACCATAGAGCTACCATAGATCTACCATTCACTTTAGAGCCACCATAGAGTCACATAACCACCATAGATATACCATAAAGTCATCATCCACCATAGAGCTACCACTGAAATATCCTCCACCATAGGGATACCATTCAACAGAAATACCATAGAAATATATTCTACCATATAATATATCATAGAAATACCATACACCATACAGCCACCATAGAGCTACCATAGATCTACCATTCACTTTAGAGCCACCATAGAGTCACTAACCACCATTAATATACCATAAAGTCATCATCCACCATAGAGCTACCACTGAAATATCCTCCACCATAGGGATACCATTCAACAGAAATACCATAGAAATATATTCTACCATATAACATACCGTAGAAATACCATACACCATACAGCCACCATAGAGCTACCATAGATCTACCATTCACTTTAGAGCCACCATAGAGTCACATAACCACCATAGATATACCATAAAGTCATCATCCACCATAGAGCTACCACTGAAATATCCTCCACCATAGGGATACCATTCAACAGAAATACCATAGAAATATATTCTACCATATAATATATCATAGAAATACCATACACCATACAGCCACCATAGAGCTACCATAGATCTACCATTCACTTTAGAGCCACCATAGAGTCACATAACCACCATAGATATACCATAAAGTCATCATCCACCATAGAGCTACCACTGAAATATCCTCCACCATAGGGATACCATTCAACAGAAATACCATAGAAATATATTCTACCATATAACATACCGTAGAAATACCATACACCATACAGCCACCATAGAGCTACCATAGATCTACCATTCACTTTAGAGCCACCATAGAGTCACATAACCACCATAGATATACCATAAAGTCATCATCCACCATAGAGCTACCACTGAAATATCCTCCACCATAGGGATACCATTCAACAGAAATACCATAGAAATATATTCTACCATATAACATACCATAGATATACCATAAAGTCATCATCCACCATAGAGCTACCACTGAAATATCCTCCACCATAGGGATACCATTCAACAGAAATACCATAGAAATATAGTCTACCATATAATATATCATAGAAATACCATACACCATAGGACGGCATCAATGATATACCATTGACCATAGAACTCCACCATTCAGCAATTGTGTGGTATACCATAGAAATATATTCTACCATATAATATATCATAGAAATACCATTCACCATAGAGCCGTACCATAGGAATATCATAGATTTTTTTTGTAAGGGCCATAACCTGTGTAGTTGTTGTAGGCCATGATGTATTCAGTTGTCTATTCAATCGAAACTCTTGAAATGAGTCTACAGCACTCTGGTATGCCCGCTGTGATCCCTCTGCTAAGGACTGTCCTAGTAGTCTATGTGTTTCTGCTGCTAGGTCAGCACTATTCCCGTAGGTATACGACTTGGTCGGTCTCGTGCTCCTGGTGCTAGTTTGCGGAATCGCCCCATCTTGCATTGGCTGTGCATGTGAAGGCGGCTGGCTTGATGACTGGTTCGCTCCAGTTGTCTCGTTTCCACTGTATTGTGGTCCGTCAGTCTCCGGAGCCGGGTTTATGCTGGTAGTGGCTGAGCGTCCACTGCTGGGGTTACCGCTCGAGTGTCTCGCCCGTTTTGGCCGCCCCGCCCGCCGGGGAGTTGAGGTGCCGAGTACGTCTTGAGTGGTGTCGTTGCTAGACTGCCTTAATCTTGTAGACTGTCTAGGCCTAGCAATCTTTGGTTGGCGGGCCACCCGGCTCTGGCTTGATTTCCGCTTTCCCATCTTTCGATATACTGGGATTTCCTCTCGTTATTTAGACTTATCTGTATACTCAATTGTAGAGCCTTCTCGAAAAAGGACTTCTCCGAGCGGAGATAAAGTCGAAAGTGAGAAAATCTTGCACACGGCGTTCCCACGCTTACTGCGCGCATAACTCCACCGTTGTAGATTTACTGGCTGTGCGCATTTTCGGTTTCTTTACAGAGGTAAATTTCACATGTCGCTGTCTCACAAAGGCACCGCTTAAACAGCTGTAAAAGGCGCGCGCTATTTCTGGCCTATGCCAGCAATTGTTTTGTCTATCCTTGACTCTCCCAGAATGACTCTGATCATTTATTATGATCACGTTATTCCCTACAATTGATTTACACCGCCAAAGATGACGTGATCAACAAAAAAATATATTAAACGCTCACCAGCCTTATTTTTAATGATCACGCCATCTTCGGCTGGCAGCAAGTAAGTAGGGAGAGGTGGCAGTATTGCGTTGGTGTGGTTGAGATCAAAATTAAGTAGGCCAGATTCAGGACTAACATTAAAGTGGATTGAGCACTTGACTATAGTATAGGTAGGAAAGTCGTGGGTTCGAGCTTCTGCATGGCACTAATGTCCTTCGACAAAAAA